TCCACAAACTCCTCCACCACCGCCACGTGGTGTTACGATACCACCACCATAATAGGACAAACTTCAACAATAACCCATAGATGGCATCACCACATAGCTTTGGGTTTCATTTGAATTAAAACTAATTTTGCTTTAATTGAGAGATTTGCATTTTGTTTTAAATGCTTTAAACGGGCGCAAACACAAAAATGCACCAGGTATATTTCTACGAGAGGCACTATTGCTGAAGCACACAGTGTACACTATAGCGGACATTAAATACCTTGTGGCATCAGGTAATGCTTGACACTCGGTAAGCTGAAACGTGACAACACCTGTATTTGCACATGGGCAAAGAGCTGGACCCAAAGAGAGCAACGAGAGGCGAAGCGTTTCGTGTTTGCGAGGAAAGGCGCACCGAGATGGTGGCCAGGTATTGCACGGCAGGAGCAGGTTAGCAACTTCTAAAACTGGAATAGAACGAGGCAAGATCACACAGAGGACAAGTGAGGAAGAGGAGGAGGCTGCGGTGAGTTGACACACGTGCAGGGTGGAGGGGGGAAGGCTGCCGGCACTGGTGGGACCGGAGCAGCATAACTATAGCCGGACGGGGCACGAGGTGAGATCCGGTGTGTGGGACTTGCGCGCGAGATGCCCAATGCACAACAGCTGCCGATCCAGCAGACGCAATGAAAGCAAACGCGGCGTGTGGCTGCATCATTGGACGTGACCATGTGCCGCCCAGCGACTTAGCACGACATTATTAATTGTAAAAATGTTTTCACAATCCCAACTAAAGTGACATGTTTTGTAAAAAAACATTCCGGCATTCAAATCAAACGGACTGAACATGGCGCTCACCCAACGCGTTTGTGAGACAACGCAGAGAGCGCTCCCCCATGGGTGTAAAAAAAAAATCCGAAACCACGCCACGGGCCAGCTCTTCACCGCAGAGCAGCAATGGCTGAGAGAGAGCGTCAAGCGCGGCTCTGCGACCTCTGGGCGCACGGCACCCAGACCGATAGGGACATTCGCCGCACCATCAACGTGGCAATTCTAACGCAGCCGCAGGTTTTGTCCTCATTACCCAAATCTAACATTTTAATCAGCACTTCTTGAATGTTAAAGTAACACACACACACGCACACACGCACGCACGTGAAGCTATAAGTACCGTGACTAAACACCTGTGGAAGATTGGCAGGACACGCGAGCAGTTTTAATGCGAACATCATCTTTGCAGTCTCAGTGCAGAGTACGAGTCAGCTGTGATGCACGAAGCAGCAGCTCGGTGCAGGCCAACTCAGGCAAGAGAAGGTTCCAGACCAGTGTCGGATACTAAACCGGCACCGCAATGTATGCTGAGGAACTGAACCCATGTTTTTTACAGAAAAGTGACAAAATACTGGCCAATACATCACACACAGAGATCCCCCCCCACCCCCACTGCCCAAAGCCTTAACATGCTGTTGGGGCACATGCTGTTGGGGAACATGCTGCTCGCGAGCACCTATGAAGGGCTGGCACAACACGTAACGAGGTGGTGGAAAACATCGTTGCCTGGCCGCCTTTGTCTCCCCAGTGCTGATGTTCACACGCTGGGCCGGCTACTCGTTTAAGGCTGAGCCGACCAAGGCGAGGCCGGGGACTGGTTCCAATGTTCGCCACTGTTATTAGTCGTGAGCAGGAATCATAGCTGTTGCACAATTTCCTCCCGATTAGTAAAAGCAATGCAGATACACTAATACCGTCAGTAATGCCCAATTCAGATGATCATCGTCTAGCCCCTAGGTGAATGCATAATTGCTGCTGGTAAACCGATGATAGAGAGAAACTGTTTCATTTGCAACCAGGTGGGCGCCTATGTTTTATAGAGGAGACCTGAGAAAGGCACATAACAACAATAATAATCAAGTGTCAACAAAGAGAAAATGTGAAATCTACCGCTGAATAAATATCATTATTGGCTAAATGTGGCAATGCCCAGCTGTAATTCAATAGGAGGCCTGGCAACGAATTGGTAGATCACGCAGAGATGGAGCCATCATCTGCATTAAACACCCTTCCTTCAAGAGCAATGTACAGAGTTGTTTTAAAAAGATGGACCCGATTTGAAATCGCCATATCTCTGCAACCACGAACCGCCCATGAATGAAACTCTTACCACTTGAAAGAGCGGGGCATAGAGCTTCAAATGATTACCGTGAGATGCCTCTCCCAGCGCTCAAACAGCCCCCTAGCCTCAGTCATTCGCAAGGCGTTTTGCGTTCTGAAGCTCAGCAAGACTGGATCCGTAATTGCGGTGCAGCATGCGTTTCATCACACCCTGCGACTTTTTTCTTGTGGGGATACGTCAAAGACCGTGTTTTTGTGCCACCATTAGCGACTAATCTGGATGACCTCAAACGCAGAATCACGTCAGCGGTGACTTCAGTGGAAGAAGACACTTTGAGAGGCATTTGGGACGAATTCAACTATTGTCTCGATGTTGTCCGTACAGCAGGTGGAGGGCACACAGAGCATTTATAAAATGGTTAGCAAAACTTGATATCTCATTAAAGCGTTAGTAACTTTTTGTATAATTGTAACATGTTGCCATCGTGAAATATACTGCTTTGAAATTGGGTCCGTATTTTTAAAACACCCTGTATTATATGAAGATTGCTCAAGGTTAACTTCCACTTTGAGTTCTAGATAGCCGTAGCAGGAGAAGAGGAGGCTGCTGAATGTGCGTGGAGTGGGCACGACAACATCTGGCAACTGCTGTGTGGCATCGCTTCACAGCAGCCCAAAGCAGTCTGGGTGTTTTCAAGATGGCAGCGAACAGGGTGTCATGGCGCTGTGTGAGAGTAGCCAAAGGCACTGACATTTACAGGATGTATCTGCGATGAAGAAGGGCCATTGCCTGAAATGTCACCTATTAGATCTTGTTTTCCTTTTAAGGCCACAGTGTCGTTGATGAATGTGTTGAGGTTTCTTGTGAAGTGTGTTTGTGCACCACTCTCATAGCGAAATTCTCAAGAGGTGGGTAGTAAAGATCAGCGACGTGTGTCTCTCAAGCGGACGTGTGTCTGAGCGGCACACAAGGTTAAAACGTGGGTGCGAGTAGGTACAACATGATGAGAATGTGAAAGCAGATGCTCTGAATTGGCCATGCGCCTGTTTTAAAGAATTTCACGATTCTGCCACCGGGCCATTTCATGACCAGTGGGAGAATTTTGTCCGCATTGTATATTCAAACCAACAGGGTGGAGGACAGCGCTGTCCTCCAGACAGTCTCGTCCCTTCACCTGATGAAGGCCGCTTGTGTTGTGGCGTGAGAATTTTATTGTGTTATTTTATTTTATCAATTTATTATTTTATTCTCATTCTACGTGACTTTACCGAAAGAACCAAAGAAGATGAATCCTTGCAGTCACGAAAGCTTTAAATCGAAGGATCCTTCTTCACAACTGTGTGTGCAAGTTGTAACTAAATGATCACGGATTTAAATATTTCCTCAGTAAAGTCTCCCTGGCTCTCTCCCAAGACTTTCAAGGGGGCTAACTGCTTGAGATGTTGGCAACTCGTTCTATTCGAGTACACTTTGATGACACCGATGCAGTATTTTTCTGGATAGATCAATATTATATGGACCCATATACAGGGCTTCCTTTATAACCGAATATTTCCGGGTTCGCTGGCAAACTGTAGTAGGCACACGATGAGATGGTCACAGCCATCGCAAGAGATATACTGGATGTGGTGCGCCGTGTGTGGAAATATTTTCCTGGTCACCGACCCGGACCGTTCCGGCTACAACTAAGCCCTCCCTATAACGTATTGAGGGATGGTGGTGCAATGGTTATAAGCACAGGGCACTCTGAACCCGGTGAACTCAGTTCAATTCCCAGCCATGGCTAAGACCAGTGGGGCGAGTGATAACCACACAGGTCCTGCCACACCCCCATCAATCCACGCCGAGCAGCATGGTGACGTATGGCCAGACAACCCCCACGACCGACGTGGCGTGTGGAGGATTTCATCCAGCAGAACACTGATAAAGGGCTGTAATTAAACTGCTTTGCATGATTATCGCATGCACAAGTTACTGTTCGAACGTGACAATAACTTACCTTAACTCTGTGAGCAACTGTGCATTGCAACAGACGCATTACGTGTGAAACACCCGATCCCCTGCACTGTGCTATAATAAACACATTTCATGCACTGATGGTGCCCTCCTTAAGTGCTGTAAATTAATAAAAATGGCATTAGTACTGTAAGGGATTAGACGTGGCGGGAGAGGTCGGTAGGTAGAGCAGCAGGCTCCTGTTTGTTTAGATTCATGATTGAAATCCTAGGCAGGGTCAGCTGAGTCACGTGGTGCTTTTGTGGGAATGTGGAACTTCCAGCACTGGCTCTGAACCAAGAACACATGAGTGCCACGAAACTCTGAATAGCATGGCCTGATCCTGTATGCATGCTATGTGTGCATGCTATGTGTTTGTGTGTATGTGTGTGCGTGGTACTGCCCATCCACGCCCTCGTGTGCTGTGCCAGCTTTCATAGGTGCTCGCTAACAGCACTTGCCTCAACAGTCTGTTAAGGCGACACGGGGAATTGTTATCGTTGTATGTGTGCTGTGTGTGTGAAGTGTGTGTGCTATGTATGCGTGTGTCTAGTTTGTGTGTGTGCTTTGTGCGTATGCTGTGTGTGTATGCTATGTATGCATGCTGTGTGTGCATGCTATGGGTGCATGCTTTATGTGCATGCTGTGTATGTGTTGTATGTGTGTATGCTATGTTTGCTGTATGTGTGTGCGCTATCGGTATATGCTGTGTGTATGCTATGTGAGTGTGTGCATGCTGCGTGTGCTATGTGTGTGCTGTGTGTACATGCTGTATGTGTATGTGTGTGCTGTGTGTGCACGATGTATGTGTGTGTGTGCTGTGTGCATACTGTATGCGTGTGTGTTATGTGTGTGCATGCTGTATGTGTGTGCTATGTGTGTGCACGTCGTGTGTGCTAGGAGATGGTACCTGATCCCTCGCCCACTCAGCTTTGTCTGTCAGGAGCTCCACGTTCTCCCTCTCCTCCTCCAGCTCGGCCTGCAGAGCGCTCACCCGGTCCTGCACGCAGCACACATCATGCGGCCACCCGTTACACTCACCGCTCTGTGCCGATGAGCTACACTCACGGTTCTGTGCCGATGCCTCACAACGCCGCCGAAACCTGTACGGCACAGTTGGGCTTCTCTGCTGTCGCGATACGTGGCGGCGATCCCTGGCTGCAAGCAGCGATTTGGCCTAACGAGGCTATTTACCGCCAGTTCCTGTGGAGGTTCCATAACGTTTTAGGAGCCTCAGGCCTTCTGTCTACAAAGAAGACTCCCAGTCTGTCTTTAATGTTGACCTCTGATGAGGTAGAAGTTTACCAAGTGATTCTCAGACCCATTTCCATTTAGAGCATTACTATAAAATGTGTGTTCTATTTACAACCCTTGTTTTATTCACATTTTCATGTTGGTTTGCAAAAAAAACGTGAGCAAAAGTTGCGACGTTTGCTACACATCCCTGCTGCTTTGGCCAATCCACTGCTGGATTAAGGCCTAGGGGGCGCTGGGCCTAGGGGGCGCAGGGTCTAGGGGGCGCTGGGCCTAAGGGGCGCTGGGCCTAGGGGCGCAGGGCCTAGGGGCGCAGAGCCTAGGGGCCGCTGGGCCTAGGGGGCGCAGGGCCTAGGGGGCGCTGGGCCGGCAGGGACCACCATGGTGGTGCAGAGCGGATTGTGCGCTCAGTGCTGGGCCTCTGCTCATGGGGTCGATGGGTAAATCTCAGTGGTGACACGTACAGGGCTGTGTTCAAGCAAGTCGCCTTGCTGCATCAGTGGATGATAATGACCCCCCCCCCCTCCTGCAAATACGTGAGCATTTGCACGCACGCAGATTGCAACCCAAGCCTCAAGAGCGAAAAGTAAACATCACTCAGAGAACAGTGCAATATATCCACCCTCACATAACTACGGTGACACGGACGTAGTTGGCAATTTATCTTAATGGACTCTAAACTGGTTACAAAACAGACATTGATCGATATATTCCGAAGGTCTCATTAACCTTCGCAGCAAGCCAGCCGCTTTGCCGACTTTACACGCACGGTGTGTTATGGTCGAGCCTTGACACATCGTACAACGCGGTAATATAATTTGTAATCATGAAATATCTTCATGGAGAAAATAAACTGGTCCGATACTGCTGTAGCTTACCCACATTGCCACACTGCAACACGTGACCCGAGGGAAAACGACATCTTATGCTCCACACATGCAGGCAACGCGCCTTACCCTGTGCGAGCACAGGCACAACACTTTGTTAGGCTGGGCTGTGGGAAATAAGCAAGGTGCTAATTTTTTTTTAGTCGAGCGGTGACGTCGAGGCTAAGAAACCGTCCACACCCTGCAGCTTCAGAATAATGAGGTTCGAGGTTGAACGGAAACCATTCAACGTGTTTAATCACAATATCGTCTTTCTTTTGATCAGATTGTGCAACACAGCAGAAGACGTAGAATTAAGCACACAAGCTCACAGTGCAGGGCGTGTAAACGAGGGTCAGTGGCTGTGCGTGGCCTGGTCCTCTCCAACAACCAACCCACAGTGCTCCCTCTCCCTACACACTCGCTACCTGCACCACTCCCTCTCTACACACTCCCTACACACTCCCTACACACACCACTCCCTCTTCCTACACACTCCCTACCCACACCACTCCCTCTCCCTACTCACACCCTCTCCCTACACACTCCCTACCCACACCACTCCCTCTCCCCTACACACTCCCTACCCACTCCCTCTCCCTACACACTCCCTACACACACCACTCCCTCTCCCTACACACTCCCTACACACCACTCCCACTCCCTACACACTCTCTACACACACCACTCCCACTCCCTACACACACCACTCCCACTCCCTACACACTCCCTACACACACCACTCCCTCTCCCTACACACTCCCTACCCACATCACTCCCACACCCTCTCCCTACACACTCCCTACCCACACCACTCCCACACACTCCCTACCCACATGCCTCTCTCTCCCTACGGGGACCGGGATGGGAACCGGGACGGTGACGGGGACCGGGACGGGGACACTGGTGGCGGTTGCGGTGGCGGCCGGGGGAGTCCCGAGCCCCGACGGTGCGCCACAGTGCGGTGCTGCGATGTAAAATGCGAGCCTCGAGATTCGATCGTACGACAGTGGCCGAGTCTGGCAGAAAGGAACAACAGCAAGGAATGGTGGCATGACAGGCCGAGTGTGGCCAGTGATGCCCCAGCCCACGTCTTCCTTGTTGGCACACAGGCGTTGCTTTAAAAGATCGTGGGGACACGAGGACCGCAGCCCCTGATCCAGCATGGGGCCGACACACCGAGGACCCACAGCACGGAAAACGAGGCACCAGTTAATGAGCACGTGGGTTACACCCAGATGTGGACTAGTTTCACCCCCAGGGTGCAGCACCAGCCCGGCTCTGGTCTAGCCGTACGGTGGCTGTGTAATCCTAAAGGGGGTCAACATCACCTCGAGGGCCTTGACCTGCCGCGGGTTGTCCTTGCGCAGAGCGGCCGAGCTGAGTTCCAGGCGCATGTCCTGGAGGCTGCGGTCGAGGCGGCGGTTCTCAAGCTCGGCCGCCTCCCGCTCGCCACGCTCGCGCTCCACGTCCCGCTCAACCTTCTTGAGCTGCAGCCACGCAGCACACACACAGCAAATCAAGACACGCATCATGCCCAGCACACACACACAGCACATGCAGCACACACACAGCAAATCAAGACACACATCATGCCCAGCACACACACACACAGCACATGCAGCACACACACATAGCAAATCAAGACACACATCATGCCCAGCACACACACACACATACAGCACATGCAGCACACACAGAAAATCAAGACACACATCATGCCCAGCACACACACACACAGCACATGCAGCACACACATAGCAAATCAAGACACACATCATGCCCAGCACACACACACATACAGCACATGCAGCACACACACAGCAAATCAAGACACACATCATGCCCAGCACACACACACATACAGCACATGCAGCACACACACAGCAAATCAAGACACACATCATGCCCAGCACACACACACTCACACAGCATATGCAGCACCAACACACACAGCACACACAGCACCTCAATAACAGAGCACATACAGCACATCAATACACAAAGCACGCATATCAAGGACCCAACACCCATAGAACATTCTGCATACAGCAATCATACACATCTAGCAAATACACCACATACTGACTCGCACAACTCAACAACACAAACAGCAGTGAGCAAAGTCCAGCGAGGACAGCATCACAAACACCACAACAGGGAAACCAAAAAACACAGTATATTGTATTTAACGTACAAATGCGCACCACACTCCAATGGCACAGCCGGAGAAAGACGCAAACATACAGTAAAAAAAAACAATGTTGTAAGTGTAAATTAACAATAATAATACTACTTTATATAAGGTCATTCAGGCTAATTACATCCGAAAACTCTGTACATTATGTACACACAAGTGGTGATAAGGGGAGCGGGTCCATCGCATATTGTAGGAACAAATATTAAGCAGGACACAGCCAGGACGCGGCACAGCAGGGCAGGACGTGGCCAGGACACGGGACACACAGCGGGCCAGGACAGCAGCGAGCACGCGGCACAGCAGCGAGGACACAGCGGGGCAAGATGCGGCCAGGACACGGCACACACAGGCGGGCCAGGACAGCAGCGAGGACACAGCGGGGGCAAGACGCGGCCAGGACACGGCACACACAGGCGGGCCAGGACAGCAGCGAGGAACCTCTCTGGGCGCAGCGCCGCCAACTCCCTGCCAGTGGCACTCGTGCGACGCGAGACTTTCTCCCAAAGCGAGACACGCGCCGATGTTTTTCACTCGAAAACCGCACAACCACTAACCCGATTGTTTGGTCTAGAATGAATGCAATTCATATTAAGATGGCAAATGTGTGATTGTTTGGAGTCAAATTATGACATTCCTCGCCACTTAATAATTCGCATTTATCAACGCCAGTGATGGCTGACATTCGTTGAGCCATGGTGCAGTGGTAAAGGTCGCTATAAAGGTCGTGATGAACGTATTTGTATTTTTCCCCATTGAACACGTTTGCCAATTAAATATACTACAAGTGCGGCCGCCTCATTTATGCGGCGTCTCAAACGGACACGTCCAGAGGACCGCACGCGGGCGAGTGGTCATCCCCTGCGATACATCCAAGTGTCTGAAACAACCGTTAAGCTGTGCTCATCTTTGATGATGGCCCGAAGCCAGTGGTAGAAATTCCACATTGCTATGTTGGTGGCCAGTATATCATCCATAGGACATTGCCATTGTGTTATCACGGAGCGGCACTCATTTGAGCAACTCCGGAAGAACGGTGGGCCGAGTATATTCCGAATTTTAGCTCATGACCCTCTCCTGCAGCTGCTGCAGATTAGTATTTATGAGGGAGGTTATTCATGGTTTTCAGTTTCATCCAAAAACTTCCGGAAATCGGGCCTAGATTACGACATTTTGGATGTTATGAATGTTTTGCTTTTAGATTGATCCAAAGGTGCCATGACAGCGAGTAACGTCACTTCATTGGCGCCAATTTTCTTCTTTTCTCACCAAAAGTTCCGCCACGTAACGGCAATGTGATGACACGTGACATCTCTTTTGCCGAAAGCATCGCTCGGTACATCAGAAAAAAGTTTTTCTGGCTGGATTCCTGCCTGGCTAATTGCCAGGTGTGTGTGGGTGTGTGTGCAGTGATGACATCACCCGTAACACACAGCATTGAACCGGGTTCGTGCGTCGTGTCGACAGACAGACGGATGCGTTCAACGGCTGCTCGTTGCAGATTAAACTTTGCGAAAAATGTTTTAAAATACAATGACTAATATAGCAAAACATTGCAATGATTAGTGTATAAAGAATGCAAGCTAATACATGCGAATAAAATTGAATCTAAAAATATAAAATAGAATAAAAATACGTGAATAGATTTAACAGGAAACTCATTCCGAGTAATGAAGTTTCACGACAGGCTTAGTGAGGCGCGCATTGAAGCCACCGATCAGAGTTTACCACAGCCCTGTGCGTTCCACATACCGCAGCACAGGCGCACTGTCCAGTGTGCAGGCGGTACAACTGCACTGCTGGGGCCCACGGGCAGGGGGAGCCCAGACGCTGGGCCACAATGAGGGGAAATTGTACAGGGCCCCCAACCCCATTTCATTCCCTGCACCAGGATGGAACCCAACTCCACAGTGAATTACAAAGCCTCTCACTTAGGTAAATCTTGCCTCACTGCTGGCAATCTGCTTCAAGTACGACTGGTATGCGTGCGCACTCACCTCCTGCTGGAACCTCGTGTTGTGCTGGATCGACACCTCCAGGGCCTGGGCCTTCTCCTGCAGCAGCCTCTGCAGGTCGGCCGAGTCCCTCCGAGCCTTCTCCCTCAGCTCCTCAAACTCGGTGCGCAGCTTCACAGCCCTGGCCGATGTCTCGCTCGATTCGGAGAGCTGCCCACAGCACACGCACCCACACACACCTGTGATTAGCACGGTTGGCTACGTACGGTGCGAAAGAAGTTCAGCATACATACACACAACAAAATGACCACATGCACATAAAACGCACACACAGCACATACCACACAGCAACCGACATGTGCCACAAAAGTGACGATGATGACATCACCACAGTGCTTGTGCCAGTGTAGTTCTGGCATATATCGGTTATTTATTTTGATCAGGTTAGATGCACCTTGAGGCCACGTGAAGTATGGAAGGCTTGCTGCTGGCAGGACGTCAAGGGACAGACCCAGGTGCCATGGGGTTGACTAAATGAGATGGCTGGCAGGTGCATCAGCTGTGCTGCCCACTATGCCACCTCGGTGCATTTTAACAACCCGGCACTCCGCTCGTTCTGAGCGTCACTCCTTTTCCCACCACTGTTGTTCGAGGGCGACTGCCTCTCCATTTTCCCACACAAGCCTCCTCTACAGAGGCCAGTATTGACACTGCTGGTACCAAGTCATCGGAAAGTCTAATGAGCTCCACATCCTCCTGTATCACATCAGCCCATCTCTTCTCTAGCCCATGCCATGCCCATTTATGTATGGATCGATAGGCCTGGTAGCTTTCACATAGCATTGTGCAGCTGATGAAAAGATGTCACTCAGCTGATTCTGAGATTCAATAAACCTACAAGACGGTCAAATCCAAATGGTACTAATGATGAAAATCAACATCAGTGTGTCTAAAGGAGCTGTTTTAATAATAGGTGCGGTATTATACCAATACTATTTAGACACCTATTACAGTGTGACTGTATGGTTAAGTATACCATTGCAAATAAAATGCAATATTTAACTGCAATCGAGTTCGAATTTTTTTTGTATTCGTGTAGTTTTTTTTAAGTTTCACTAAAATCCTCACTTCAAAGTTCAAAGGTATCACTACGAGTACGGTACACACCTTTGGGAAAGTGGCAGCCGTAACTCACCAGCTGTGTTGGTGATATTTGTTCTCTCTGAGGCGGGGGGGGGGGTGGCAATTGTGGCCCCTGGACACGACGAAAACTCAGCTTGATCCTCTTCTCCGACTCAAACTTTCTAGAGCTGGTTAGTGTTCAACTTTCAGATGCATGACATTTTAAATAATGTGTTTTGTGATAATAGGTTACATGTAATAATAGGTTAAATTGGTAAAAGAAAAAAAATGTTAATGGGTTAAATGGGTAGGCTTTGGATATTGTAACATTATCAAAGTGCTCAATTTTTTTCCTACAATTTGCGGTGAACCCGCTCCCCATGTCACCACTCGTGTATATAATGTAGAGAGTTTTCGGATGTAATTATCACGAAGTATTATTATTGTTAGTTTACGCGAACAACATTGTTTTTTTTACTGTATGTTTGCGTCTTTCTCCGGCTGTGCGCCATTGGAGTGTGGTGCGCATTTGTACGTTAAATACAATATACTGTTTTGAAAAATATCTTGTTATAATAATAAAGAATTAAAGCTTTCGTGACTGCATAAATTACTCATTGGTTTTTTCGGTAAAGTCACATATGTAGAAATACCATAAAATTATATTAAAATAAATCAATCAATAAATCAATCTCGTTATAATACTTTATTGTTCATGTTAATGGACTTTCAGAAAATTATATTGCGATTGCGAAACAGAGATCCAGCCACGTATAGATTATACATAAACATTATGCCGTAGAGTATTTACCTTGGCACAGGTCAAGGATTTTCTCTCATGTAGCACTCTCTGACGGCACAACCGCACGTCATAGGGAACCAGTAACAGCAGGTCTGGTCTGGGAGCATCTCAAGCAGCTCACAGGCCGCTCATTTCAACTGTGCGGGGTGGTTGTTTTACACCCCTGCTAAGCTGCAGTAAATACAATCTCTTCAGTCAGACCTCGTGACCGTACAAGGACAATCAGGTTTACTGGACACGGGAACCTGCTTTTGCCGTGGCCAAGGGGTCTGGGATTCACAAGCTGGAGCCAAACATGGATGGTAGCGAGCCAAACGGTGTGCCTAAGAGATTTTACACAGGGGGCAGTATTCGGGGCGTGAGGCCAATAGTTTCCACCCATTTCATTGTGTGCCTTCTACCCTACACAACATTGTCATCGGTCCTGGAGACGCGCTGTCCTGTAGCCTCGAGACCACAAGCATGTTCATAGAATAAGCAAGCTGGAGGTTGAGTGATAATGCCGCCTGTCTCGTATTAAACGGCATCTGGCCATGAACGCAGAGATCAAGCGCTGCACATCAAAACGAGGCACACGTGAACCTCTTATAAAAAGACACATGGGACATAGCTACAGATGCACATCAAGTATCTCAACAGGCTTGGGTTTAAACCCTTTTCATGTTTCTCGCTGAATAGCAGCGAACCAAACAGAATAATTGAAAAACGAGAATGGGTGCCGGCAGTATTGTGCCCTTGCGTCTCCAGCCGGTAATGCGATCCATTGAGGGATCACAGCAACGAGTGTGACGTGTGTGGTTGTTGTGCGATTGGGGGTTGTTGCCTGCGTTTAGGCCCCAGGGTAAGCATGATGGAAAATGCATGCCACGAGAGCGGCAGCCAATACTACGAGGCCTAGATTACATTTTTAATTTAAATATCACCTTGGTTCTAAAACAATCGGCAATCAATTGGATTGCTTTTCAAAGTCCTCCCAACACTCACTGTGAATCTGCCCTCATGTTCAAACGCCTTCACGGACCTTGCCTCGTGCTACCTCTCAGCCCCTTCATCCGCTGCCTATTGGCAGCACTCCGCTCCAGTAGCCACTGCATATACTGGAATGTCACCCACCCCACTTACTCTCCCTGCTCACCGCCCCTTCCCCATCTGCACTGTGGACCTCCTGCCGCTCACGAGTCAAGTTTTGGACATTCTGGGGAGTGAGGGTTCCTGGATTTCGTGCCCGTGAAGTCTCACGGAGACAAGGCTGGTTCTTGTTGAAGGCAAACGTTGGATGAATGCAAGTGAAACGTAGAACGGCATAAATTCTTGCAAAATTGGCACAACGCGAAAGAAGCTCTGAATGTCCACAATAGGAATTTGTGATATTTAGTGGATTTTATGAGTTTCTACCCACGACTCAAGTAATCTCGTGCAAGAGACACGGGTTACAGGAGGAGCACGATATGCGACTCGTTTCCTTGAAGTGTGCACGATTACTGTAAGCGTAAAATTTTGGAGAGTTCAACTTTGATTGCACATATCGCACTATTATACATCGCCAACAGTATGCTACTGGAACAGACTGGAAATTAACAACTAAAATTCAATAAACTGTATATCGTGTAATGCGATTCACACGCGTTAGAACTTATCATCTGCATTCCAACTAAGGAGAGTTTCTGGACAGCGAGTGGACAGCGAGTGCAGAGTGTGTGCAGAATGAGTGCTGAGTAAGGGAAGAGTGTGTAGAGAGTACAGAGCAAGCACAGAGTGAGTGGAGAGTGAGTGGAGAGTGCGTGGAGAGGGAGGGGAGAGTGGGTGGAGAGCGAGTGGAGAGTGAGTGGAGAGGGAGGGGAGAGGGAGGGGAGAGTGGGTGGACAGTGAGTGCCGAGTGAGTGGACAGTGAGTGGAGAGTGGGTGGAGAGTGAGTGGAGAGGGAGGGAGGGGAGAGTGGGGGAGAGTGGGTGGAGATTGAGTGGAGAGTGAGGGGTGAGTGAGTGGAGAGTGGGTGGAGAGTGGGTGGAGAGTGAGTGGAGAGTGAGTGGAGAGTGAGTGGAGAGGGAGGGAGGGGAGAGTGGGTGGAGAGTGAGTGGAGAGTGGGTGGAGAGTGGGTGGAGAGTGAGTGGAGAGTGGGTGGAGAGTGGGTGGAGAGTGGGTGGGGAGTGAGTGGAGAGTGGGTGGAGAGTGGGTGGAGAGTGAGTGGAGAGGGAGGGAGGGGAGAGTGGGGGAGAGTGGGTGGAGATTGAGTGGAGAGTGAGGGGTGAGTGAGTGGAGAGTGGGTGGAGAGTGAGTGGAGAGTGGGTGGAGAGTGAGTGGAGAGTGAGTGGAGAGGGAGGGAGGGGAGAGTGGGTGGAGAGTGAGTGGAGAGTGGGTGGAGAGTGGGTGGAGAGTGAGTGGAGAGTGGGTGGAGAGTGGGTGGAGAGTGGGTGGGGAGTGAGTGGAGAGTGGGTGGAGAGTGAGTGGAGAGGGAGGGAGGGGAGAGTGAGTGGAGAATGAGTGGAGAGTGGGTGGAGAGTGAGTGGAGAGTGAGTGGAGAGTGAGTGGAGAGTGGGTGGAGAGTGCGTGGAGAGTGAGTGGAGAGGGAGGGAGGGGAGAGTGGGTGGACAGTGAGTGGACAGTGAATGAAGAGTGGGTGGAGAGTGGAGAGTGAGTGGAGAGTGGGTGGAGAGTGGGTGGAGAGTGAGTGGAGAGTGAGTGGAGAGGGAGGGAGGGGAGAGTAGGTGGAGAGTGGGTGGAGAGTGGGTGGAGAGTGAGTGGAGAGTGAGTGGAGAGGGAGGGAGGGGAGAGTGGGTGGAGAGGGAGGGAGTGGAGAGTGGGTGGAGAGTGGGTGGAGAGGGAGGGAGGGGAGAGTGAGTGGAGAATGAGTGGAGAGTGGGTGGAGAGTGAGTGGAGAGTGAGTGGAGAGGGAGGGAGGGGAGAGTGGGTGGACAGTGAGTGGACAGTGAATGAAGAGTGGGTGGAGAGTGAGTGGAGAGTGAGTGGAGAGTGGGTGGAGAGTGGGTGGAGAGTGAGTGGAGAGTGAGTGGAGAGGGAGGGAGGGGAGAGTAGGTGGAGAGTGGGTGGAGAGTGGGTGGAGAGTGAGTGGAGAGTGAGTGGAGAGGGAGGGGAGAGTGGGTGGAGAGGGAGGGAGTGGAGAGTGCTTGGAGAGTGGGTGGAGAGGGAGGGAGGGGAGAGTGGGTGGAGAGGGAGGGAGTGGAGAGTGGGTGGAGAGTGGGTGGAGAGTGAGTGGAGAGTGAGTGGAGAGTGAGTGGAGAGTGAGTGGAGAGTGGGTGGAGAGTGGGTGGAGAGTGAGTGGACAGTGAGTGGAGAGTGGGTGGAGAGTGAGTGGAGAGGGAGGGAGGGGAGAGTGGTTGGAGATTGAGTGCCGAGTGAGTGGACAGTGAGTGGAGAGTGAGTGGAGATTGAGTGCCGAGTGAGTGGACAGTGAGTGGAGAGTGGGTGGACAGTGAGTGGACAGTGAGTAGAGAATGGGTGGAGAGTGAGTGGCGAGTGGGTGGAGAGTGGTGGAGAGTGAGTGGAGAGTGAGTGGAGAGGGAGGGAGTGGAGAGTGGTGGAGAGTGAGTGAACAGTGAGTGGAGAGTGAGTGGAGAGGGAGGGAGGGGAGAGTGGGTGGAGAGTGAGTGGAGAGTGGGTGGAGAGTGGGTGGAGAGTGAGTGGAGAGTGGGTGGAGAGTGGGTGGAGAGTGGGTGGGGAGTGAGTGGAGAGTGGGTGGAGAGTGAGTGGAGAGGGAGGGAGGGGAGAGTGAGTGGAGAATGAGTGGAGAGTGGGTGGAGAGTGAGTGGAGAGTGAGTGGAGAGTGAGTGGACAGTGAGTGGAGAGGGAGTGAGTGGAGAGTGAGTGGACAGTGAGTGGAGAGTGAGTGGAGAGTGAGTGGACAGTGAGGGGAGAGTGGAGAGTGAGGGGAGAGTGAGTGGAGAGGGAGTGAGTGGACAGTGAGTGGAGAGTGAGTGGAGAGTGAGTGGAGAGTGAGTGGAGAGGGAGTGAGTGGACAGTGAGTGGAGATTGAGTGGAGATTGAGTGGAGAGTGGTGGAGAGTGAGTGGAGAGTGAGTGGAGAGGGAGGGAGTGGAGAGTGGGTGGAGAGTGGGTGAAGAGTGAGTGGAGAGTGAGTGGAGAGTGGAGAGTGGACAGTGAGTGGAGAGGGAGTGGCGAGTGAGTGGAGAGTGAGTGGACAGTGAGTGGAGAGTGAGTGGAGAGTGAGTGGAGAGTGAGTGGAGAGGGAGGGAGGGGAGAGTGAGTGGAGAGTGAGTGGAGAGTGAGTGGACATTGAGTGGAGAGTGGGTGGAGAGGGAGAGTGAGTGGAGAGTGAGTGGAGAGTGGAGAGTGAGTGGCGAGTGGGTGGAGAGAGAGAGTGAGTGGAGAGTGAGTGGCGAGTGAGTGGACAGTGAGTGGACAGTGAGTGGAGAGTGAGTGGCGAGTGGGTGGAGGGCGGCACCTCGGTGCGGAGTCTCTCCAGGGTGCGCTCCTGCTGCTGGGCCCTCTCCTTCTCGTGCTCCAGCTCCTGCCTCAGCTCATCCCTCTGGCTCTCCGAGCTCTGCCACCGTGCAGTCAGCTCCTGCTGCTCCGCCTGCAGCCTGCTGCACTTGCGCTGCACATTGCACACACGCACACACATGCACACACGCACACTTGTGTTTACAAAAAATATATACACACACACAATGGAGTGCACACACAACATCACACTCAGATGGGTGAATACTATGCTTACAAAGACAAACATCCTCTCTTTAGCCCGCCTCATTGCGAGGGCGGGTGGTGCTTCTAGCAGGCATCTGTTGACGCCGGCATGGCACAAAGGGATGTCGGCGGCCGTACGAGCGGCAACATGCCTGGCTGCCTTTGTCTCCATACCGAGAATATTTACAGCGCAACAAGCGATCAATGTAGGCTCGGACCTTGCGAGCCCCCAGGTCAGACTCGCAGCAAAGAATGACTCGCACAACAACGGAGGGGGGGGGCCCCCCCCCCCCCCCCCCGCGTGGCCTTGTGCATTCGTGGGGACGGGTGCTGAAAGTGGGCACGCCGCTTCACGAGGCCTGCACGGCGCACGAGGCCGCGCCGATGCCAGCACCACGCTCGTCTGGCTGCCATTATCACGCCAGGCTCATGCTTACCACGGCACGGCAACCACTGATTTTAAACTCTCGACCCACATCGGGGAAGTCCCAGACAGGCTCCAGATGTGAATTGCGGTGTGCATGGCTTACGGTAAAACGTACGTCACTGGGATTTTACGTGAGGGCACTAACAGGTGCTCATGAGTGTTAAGGGTCCGGTGGGTTTTGTGACTGGCGGGTGATGAAAGAAGTCTGATTAGGGTCTTCGTGCGAATGCCACGTCACCCTGTCCACGGGAAGGGCTGCCCTCTCGTGTCTTGGTAATCCGCCTGCTGAAAGATTCAGAAACAAGTTGGGGCTACGCCTGCTGCCAATGAGGCTGACAACGGTGGCTTCCGCACCTGCAGCTCCTCCAGCTGAGTCTGCAGAGTCCGCTGGGCAGCCTCCATCTCCATCTCCAGGGCATCGGCCTTCTCCAGGGCTTCTGCCTTCCGAGCTTGCTCTGCCTGCACACCAAACACATACACACGTAATCAGTGTGTACGCCCGACACTCACAGATAACACCATCACTACCGCACTACGCACGGCTTACCCAACACTCGCAGAGAACACCCTCACTACATGGTTATATCGTGTACAGTCTGGAGAAACACGTATTCAAAATGCTAACTAGTCCATGAAGGAAACATTACCACGGCCTGTGTAACTGTTCGCCACCGACATTGGCCATCTGGAGGCAGGAGGCGATAAGCAGCAGGCAGGGATGTACACATTTGCACAAAAATCAACATGCCCCCCCCCCCATGCCCTTGCAAGCACTTGGCAGCGTCCGCTTGCGTGTGGCTTTCCACGTGGGGGGGGGGGGGGGGGGCAGGGAACCGGCCCCGCGTGCTCAACGGCGTCCGAGCGAGGCGACGGCTCTCACCTCGAGGCGGCCGAGCCGGCCCTTCCACGTGTCCTCGTCGCTGCGCGCCGCCGCCAGCGCCGACCTCAGCTGCAGCAGCTCGGCCTGCAGGGTCTCGCGCTCCTCCCGCAGCCCCGCCAGCTCCGCCTCGGCGCGCCGGGCCTGCTGCGCTGCCACGGAGAGAGCTCGGCCCACCTCCCCGGCACTCGCCTCCAGCTCCAGCACCCGCTGCAAAGCAGAGACAAAGAGCCCTTGACATGGCCCTTCAACTGTCAGGGCACCTATGACACGACACACGAGGGGGTGTTTTGTGGCCAACATTGCGCCTGGCTGACTTTGTCTCGCCAGTGATGATATTTACAGTCGACCTAGGGAAGGCCCTGGGGGCAGCTAAAATATTTGCGAGTGATTTGTCACGAACTCACATTGCCGGCTTCATAGCACATTGCGCTAACCACTACACTACCAAAAACACAGCAACAACAATAACAACAGGCGCCATTCGCCACTCAGTAGAGGTGACATCACCACGGTACTTGTGCCAGCCTAGGTGCACTTTGAGGCCACGTCGAAGGTTTGCTGCTGGCAAGTCACGGGACAGACCCAGGTGCCATGGGTTGATTGACATGGCTGGCAGATGCACCACCTGTGGTCTACTGTGCCAACTTGCTGCGTTTTTGATGCCCGGCGCAACACACGCTAGAGCACACAACGACAAAACCGAATATAGAACACTGTACTATGCATAGACATGTGTAATACAGCACAAACTAAAACACAAAAACAAAAACTACAAATCCCAATTTTTAAGGTGCCTCACTTCTCTAAACCAGCTTAAAAGACGCTACGAATCTTAACAACGTTCATTGAAGCTCTGTCGTCCCGACAGGTTTGTCCCTTTCACCTGAAGAAGGCCACTTGTGTTGTGGCCGAAACGTCGTGAGAATTTTATTGTCATTTTATTTTATTATTTTATTCTCATTCTACGTGACTTTACCGAAAGAACCAAAGAAGATACAAATCCCAAGGTTAGACTTTTGGAACATTAGCACAAGTGCCATCAACAAACAACCAATAAAACCAGTGTACGTACGGCAGACAATGTAGAGGCGCGGCCAGCTCCACGCTTTGCTGCATCTACCTCCCAACTGCGAGTGTAAGCACACAACCACGGCTAATAAACTTAGGTGGGCACGGCTAGGAGGTGACCGCGGGCGGCCCGAATCGCAGAGCGGGACGCGAGGCCCCACCTGAGCGGAGGTCTCGAGCTTCTGCTGGGCCTTGCTGGTGGAGTCGGCGTGGCGCTGCCGCTGCTCGTCCATCTCGCGCTCGCGCGTCTCCACCTCCTGGCGCAGCACCCCGCGCAGCGCCGCCAGCTCCCGCTCGCGCCGCCGCAAGCTCTCCTCCACCTCGCCCAGCCGCTGCAACTCCTGCGAGCGGCACACGCAGCAGCACGCGGTCTCTCATCCACACTCGCGCGCAGCGCCACTCATTCTCAACCACACTCGCACGCAGCAGCACGCAGTCTCATGCACACTCACACACAGCAGCAAGGCGGTCTCTCATCAACACTCGCACGCAGCGCCACTCATTCTCAACCACACTCGCACGCAGCAGCACGCAGTCTCATGCACTCCCATGCAGCGCCACTCATTATCAACCACTCGCATGCAGCAGCACGCGTCTCATACACACTCGCACGCAACAGCACTCTCACTCACATGCAGCATCACACACACTCAGCACTACCCGCACTACTTAAGGGCAGCACCACTCACACGCGGCACCGTGCACGCGCAGCAACACGCAGCAGCACACAAGCTCATCCACACTCACAAGTAGCAGCACGCAGTCTCATTAAACACTCATGCGCAGCACCGCTCACACACAGTACCACTTACACGCGGCACCACTCGCACGCAGCAGTACGCAGTCTCATCCACACTAACGTGCGTGACAGATGCAGACCGATGCACCATCTACACTGCCCATTGTGCCAACTTGCTGCACTGTAGCTGCTTGATGCATTACGTGAAGTGGTGAGCCCTCTATTTCTCGCAGACGGCCACCAGCTGCCCCAGCAGCATCATTCACGAAGCTTCCTCCAGAGGCCTATTTCCCAGTACCACATCAGCACATCTCCCGAGCCCACTGTTTATCAACTAGCGCATTCTCCGAAGAAACTCCCCTCCAGTTGTGTTGTTTCCTGGTTAAACAAGATAAAACTAGATACCTGCACTTGCAACTAAAGCTACGAGCTAGTAATACGGCCAATAGATGCGACAACGCTTATAAAAATAAGGTTTTTCACTTTTTTTTCTGGCGACAAAACTGAAACCTTTTGCAAGGAATCATGTTTACATTAACCACAATACTTGCAGTCAGAATGCAAACAAAAAACAACACTCTGATCATTTATGCATTATCCTTGAAACTAATTAGGCGTCATCTGGTCGAGCACCGTATGAGACTAGGCTCTAGGGGAAAGCTGGTGTGGACCAACCAGTTTCAAGGACAATGAATAAATTACCAGAGTGTTGTTTTGTGTATGCATTCTGACTGCAAGTATTGTGGTTAATGTAACCATGATCCTTTGCAAAATGTGTCAGTTTTGTTGCCATAAAAAAAGAGGAAAAACCCTATCATTATATTTTGGTACTGGCAAAGGAGGCCTCATGATGTAGCGACAATGCTTGTTTTACTTCCACACGCATGATAAATCTGGTCACACACACACGTTAAATGATACCGCCCAAACGCACGTGCACACACGCAAACGTACGACGCATCCAACTCTTGTGTAGTGGCCATGCGAGCGCACGGCCGCACAGGCTGTGGCCGTGCCGCCGCTCGCACGCCGTGGGATCGCGGACGTGTGCGCGCGCGAGCACCTGCAGCAGCGTCTTCCTCTCCTCCTGCTCCGCGGCCGAGTGCTTGGCCTGGTCCAGCTCGTCGTGCATTTCCGACAGCTGGCTCTTCAGGTCACGCATCTCGCGCTGCAGGGCCGAGCGCTCGCCCTCCACCTCCTCCAGCCTGGGGCACGTGGAGACCAACCGCACTCAGCCAACGCCAAACTCCACCTCGCACTCGTGGGACCCACTACAAACTCCCACTCAACCTCCCACTCTACCTACAATTCAACGCCCAACACTACCCCCCCCCCCCCCCCCAACTCAGCACCCAAGCCAACCTCCAATTCAACACCCAGTTCAACCTCTTACTAAACCTCCAACTCAACCCAACCACCAACTCAAACTCCACCTCCACTACAAACTCAATCTCCAACTTTAATACAACCCACAAAACAACCACTAACTCAACTGCTGACAATGACCAGCTTTACTATCACAAGCACTCTCAACTTCCAACTCCACTTGCAATACACTCATCAACTCAACAAAACCTCCAAGTAAACCCCAAACTCAACCACCAGCTCCACCAGCCTCCAAATGGACACCCCACCTCACCCAATCTCAACTAAGCTACCAACTCAACCCCCAATGCAACACTGCTGAATCGCCCATTATCTTGGCTCACCTTCAAGTGCACTGAAGTAAACTCAACCCACAACTCAACTGCAAACCTAATCCTCAATCCAACCAGCCTCACCCCAACCGCCATCCAAACCCCACCTCAACAACCTCCACATTGCCAGGCTCCTCCGCTAGACAGCACCGAGATCCAAGCACATGGATACAGCCCCATTGCTTCCTTTATGCTGGTCCACTCTGGGCAATCTCACACCGAGTCTCCATACCCAGTCATCTTCCAGCTAGACCGTGGGCTGACCAGGACCTACAGCCGGGCTCGGAGTGCACCCGTTGACTTGACCATACGTGTACATCGCTTCGTATTATGTAAGCTTTAATCTGACGCACATGCAGCGCCATGGCCAGGACACGTGTGTGCGGTGCGTGCGCACTAGTGGTGCGGGACTAGTGCGGGTGCTCGGCCGCCCCTGTTGCGAGCCGTACGAGTGCTGCGCTGTTGTGAGGCGGGCGTCCGCCTGCTCCAGCTGCTCGCGCCAGCGCTGCACCTCCTGGGCCTTGTCGTCTGCGTCCCTCCGCGCCGCCGCCAGGCTCTCCTTTAGCTTCGCCAGCTCCGCTTGCGCGGCCGCACGGCTCTGACACGTCGCAAACAAGAACACATCCACACACCACCCACACCATGTTACTACGTTTCACTTGCAGCCCTCGATATCCAGCTGCGCGATGTGGCAGAGCAGGAAACTTGCCATCAGAAGGCTGTGAGTTTGAATCTGGGCTGGGGTTAACTCGGACCATCATCCCTCCAGCATCAACCAAAAGAGTTTTGGGAAGTTAACAGTGCTTGCTTGCTACGATTCCTGCCATCGAAATGTGGACATTCCACTTCCGATTCAAAACGACCCGGTGCTCTTTCGGGATGCACTTTGACTCGCGGCCCTGGCACCTGGGCAGTGGGCACGCAGCAAAGCATTCATTTGGATCCCTCACAACCCCCGAAAGGACAGCGCAGCCACACACTCCTGCGCTTCACCTGCCAAGTGAAAGCTCATCAGCAGAGGCCATGGCATTACATCCCAAGTCCCCTATCTTATTACAACTGGTTGTGGTGCAAATGATGACTCGGAGGCAGATCTTCATGTAAGTGCTTGCGCCGGATATTTATTCAGGGTTTAGATAACTCTTCCACACGACCCTGCACTCGACATCATTAGACCTCCTTTTCCAGTACCAAAATGTCATCTGGTCGAGCACCAATTGGGTCGAGGCTCAAAAGAAGGCCGTCCCTTGGTGTGGACCAATCAGTTTCAAGGACAATGCATATATTATCATAGTGTGTTTTTTTTGTTTGCATTTTGACTGCAGGTATTGTGGTAAATGCAGACATGGATCCTTGTAAAAAGGTTTCAGTTTTGTTGCCAGAAAAAAGGGGAAAACCCTATTATTAGACCCCGCACTCTGTCCGTTCCTAGCTTGGCTAGCTCCAGGGCTCTCTCCCTCGAGTCGGATCGGGGATTCAGCCAACACCGACCGACCGGGGAGAGCACCACCTCCTCTATGACTACCACCGGCTTCTCTCCGGACTCCTTCATCTCTACCCCTGTCTGGCTCTTCAACCGTTCTATCCCGGGGCTCCCACAGTGACCCCGCTTTCATCACAGGGTCCCCCCCTTAAGTACCTAGAGGAGGCATGACATCACCGCCCCGCCCAGCGTGCATGACGTCACGTCCCATGACGTCATCGCACTGGATAGCGCGCATGACATCACGCCCCCATATTACTCCTCTACACAACCGTGACACTTTACTTTAACCTCTTCATTTTTAAAGATAATTTCAAGTCAAATTTGTAAAAAAAAAATACTGGCTAAGGCCTACTGAGCAATGTAGGTCTTTTTCAGAAGTGACTTGGCCACAAATGATAGCTCAACAAGTAGTGGCTTTTTACATGGAAATTTTTAGCAGCCAAATACTCTAAACGCATGTTTCATAAATGTTGGAGGGGAACACCGGCGAGCCTGGAGAAAAATCCACGTGACCACAGGGAGAACATGCAAACTCCAAATATACAGGCGTCATGGTTGGGACCAAACACATTACTCCTGTATACCAGGCGAGGAAGTTAACATTTCTCCACTGTGGCGTAGATGTTCAATACACACACTGCTATAAGATCAGCATATGCCACAGCATCCAGGGAGTTTTCAAAATCCATAACAGCCCAAGACACAAACCCGAATGAAATCTCTATCGAGGAATGTAATAGGAGTAACGCCAAAACGTTAATCATGGACATCCTCGTTCAGCAGTCTTCGAATGATAGACTTACAGAGTGCAGTACTAATAAAATCAATTGAACTTGGAATTGTGCTTTCTGGTCAGCGAAGAGACTGATGTTGTATTCACATTTTACTTAGTTCCCGATACACACATATACAGTTGGGAAGGGATGCCACATGCCCCGTACGTCTGCCGTTTAGTTGAACAGCAGAATAACGAAGAATACAGAGAAGCATCATTGAGCCATTAACTCCTCACCACCGTCTGCATTGGCAGTGACTTGTACAAGAAACTGGCTGCTCTGCAGAGCAGAGAAAGGGGAATGCCCTGAAGAACAGCCAGTTCCTGAAACATTAGTCAATTGCATAGCCATCTCTGCTGGTTGTTTTACATTTTGCCTTAAAAGTAATATAAAAAAATGTAAACACGCTTTAATGAAATGTACCATACGGGTAATGGAAGAACTCCACGACTCTAGGAAGTGGCGCCGAAGCTTGCCATAACGTAAGGGGCCGTGGTGATTTACAGCCAACGTTAGTTGGCTGTAAATTAGACCCAAGCCGAAACATAACGTATAAGAAAATCATACTCTTTGGTTCTATTCGACCTGGGCTTGGCTGTCTTCACTCCAATGCTGTCCTCTGGACAGTACGGTCCCTTCACCTGATGAAGGCCACTTGTGTTGTGGCCGAAACGTCGTGATTTTTGTTGTTTTATTTTTTACCTACGTGACTTTACCGAATAGAACCAAAGAGTATGGATCCTTGCAGTCACGAAAGCTTCAAATCTAGAATAAAAAATCATGCTTAAAAATATCTATTTTATTTTTTATGATAGAATATAGTATTGTCATCAGTAAGACATAAGTATACCAAGTTTTCAGTCGATACCACATTGGGAAGTGGGTTAAAATTGAGTTACAATATTTGAGGATACAACAACAACAACAGACGGAGTGAGTTAATAGAAAGCGTGTAAAAACCATAAACACGTTCTCCCCTCCTCTGGAACAACATTTGAAGCCACTGATATCGAAAGTGTCCTTGGGTTCTCAGATTAAAATTATCTCTCAAAGTCCAATGGTAATACAAGTGTTCAGCCATTGTCAGGGTGGTCTGGCTACTTCTGCAAGTGGTGAGCAAATCGAGGTACAAAGTGTTGCGCTGAGGAGGCAGAGGGTCATGGACCCCTAAACAGGCACAGGTCACTAGAAACGGAGCTCCAGCAGGCGTTCCCCCGAGACCAGGACAAGCACATTGCCCACAGCACCTGCGTGCTACCGTCGTGATCAGCTTGGAGCCGCCAATTCACAAATGGCAATTGTCCCATTCCACCCGGGCCATGGGGCGAACGCCGTGCCACTCAGTGCGGCTGAATAACCTTGTGGGTTGGCACAATCCACAACTAACTGCTCTGCGTGGGTTCAATGTCTGATTTCATCAGCTGCCTAGCTGTTTCTGTGGGTCATTAGCACCAAAGGACATTGATTCGTACAAGTTAGTCTTCAAGCCATGCGACAAGACAATACGCGACACGGTGCGTGACATACACCGTCGCGAGATGGCGTCACAGGTAAATCGGGCGCGTGATGTGCGACGTCATCGCCTTGGCCATGAAGAAGGCTCTTTCATTTAGGATTATATATTTTTTAACTTGATCTGAAGCTTTCGTGACTGCAGGAATTACTCTTTGGTTCTTTCGGTAAAGTCACGTAGAAAGATAATTATTTATTATACAATTTATTTTGTTTACCGAAAGAACCAAAGAGTATTTTTTAACTGCCAAGTTTTAGCCAACTATTTGGTCAATTTGGACATTTTTTTACAGATGACAAAGCTCTAATACGAACACAGCTTTGCACTCAAATGTCACTAATATTGGATCATGTTTACGAGAGTTATCAAGACCCCTCCCCCCGCTACAGATAGATGGATGGAGATACAGAAAAACGGCCACAGGTAATACATGAATGCTTTCAATCGGAACTTGAGACGAGCACATCAGGGACCAGGCTGAACGTGATACCAGAGCCTCAGGGATCAAGCTGAACGTGAGACTAGAGCCTCAGTGACCAGGCTAAACGTGATGCTAGAGATAATTTCACCGTTGGCATGTGTCGACACATCAATCACGGTAAGAACCGATGCAAAAGCAACTTGTCGAGGAGGGTTCCAAATGAACGGAAAGAAAATGGAACCAATCACACGGCACGCCGAACTCCGAGCTCAGCGTCGCGCACCGAGAGCGCTCCCCGCCTCAGAGGGAACACAACCGTGCACGACGTCATCGACACATGGGGGGTGGGAGGGCGCTCGGAGGGGGGGGGGGGGGGGCACCGTGCATCTGCGTTAAACTTGCGCCTTGGTCACCTCTGCCTTTCGAAAACTCTGAGAGGGGGGCACATGGACACCGATATTCACTGCCAATTCAAAGGCGGGGGGGGGGGGGGCATCTGTGCACAGTCGGTCACGGCCATGTCTTTTTTCAAATTCCCACATGTTCCGCTCAAACAACACAAAAATCAGCCGTTATTGTTTGAGGTCATGTTCGTGTGAGAGCTTTACAGTTCCCATTCACTCGCGGAGTGCGTAACAGAAGCCGTTTAAATCGCGGGGAACAGGCCTGACTGGATGTTCCAGCTGACATTGTTGTGGCCGGTGGTCATGCCGAAAAGAATAACAAAAAACATCGCAGTTAACACAGCGGAGGATAGCGATGCTGAAAAGTGGAATAATTCACATTTGCTGGACCATAAACAATGTTGTTGATCTTTCGTTTTAAAAGCTTTCGTGACTGCAGGGATTCATATTCTTGGTTCTTTCGGTAAAGTCACGTAGAAGGGAAATAATAAAATAAAAATAAATAAAAAATTATTGCTGTGGTTTTCACACCTGATGATGATTGTTTGTGTTGCGATAATTGTATTGTGTTAATTTGTATCATTTTATTATTTCCCTTCTACATGACTTTACCGAAAGAACCAAGAATAATAATGTTGCTGATCCATAAGGACATCAACCAAAGCGATATGCGAACAAGGCCATCAGCATCATCAGCCATGGTCCATCCACTGCTGGATAAAGGTTTGTCCCATGATGCTACACAGTCCGTCTCCCTCCTACGGATCTCATCTTGCCGTCTCGGCGATGGTCGCCCTCTTGTTGTGACCGCTCCTTGGCTGCCATTCCGCCACAAGTCTCCTTCACAAGGCCGCAGAGTATCCTGCCCAAGGCCACTTGCTCTGGCTGAACAGACTTTTATAAACATACCGTCTCTAATTTGAATTTGTCCCCCGATCCACGAGCTCTTCTTTCTGTCGCTCGGTGCAAACGAAAGCGCACGCCTCTCTACGCTTGCGCACACCTGGGTGACATACGTTTCCAGCTCATGGTATTTCAGCTCATCGGAGTGAGGTGTGCGTTGTAACAGATACAGGTGAACGACACCCTTTGAAGGGTAATGTTAGCTTCCGTCTTTCTGTACAGGGCTACGTGCAGTGCACGTTTCTGGTCACGTCAACACTGCGCATTAACAGGGTTAAAGGCACACACACCACACCGTGTGCCGGGCCGTCCATCGTATACCCCACCGCCGCGTACCCTCTCTCTATTGCCAGTACAAGCCAGCAGGGTGGCGCCGTGGGTACAGCACTCAACTCACAATGAGGAGGTTGCAAAAGTTCAATCCCGGGTCGAGGTTGATGCAGCCTATCGTCCCCGAGAGGTAAATAACCATACGTGCTCCTTTCATGGGAAGTCATCAGCAGTCATCACTACGGATATAGTGGCCCCACCATGTCGAATTTCCATTACTCATCTGAACGGGGAAACACCTTGCATGTGACTGGATTCTTACCAAAACTGACAGCATATGCCTCCAGGAAACTTAAAGTGAGGCCTGTTTGTTTGACTTCTGGAACTTCACACGAAACAGAACTCTGCCGCTCGGTCCCCTTCACTCAAATGAACGACAGTGGAACCGTCACTCCCACTCTACACTCCCTGCACCGGATTCCAATCCCCTCTACAACTAAGAAATACCACCACACTCCCACAGACACCGTGTCTGCTCTACCCAATCTCGTCTGCTGCACTTACATTTCAAGGGTGATTAATTTTCTGATTGTATTTCCAACTCCTTCCTCCTACGTTAAACCTATGTATGTTCAACTTCTTTCTCACCGTATATAGCCAACCGTACTAATCAGAGTTGCGGCGGAAGGACTACAAACTAAAATATAAAAAAACATTTGCCGTGAAAATATTTTTTTCAATATTTAAAATAAAACCTATATCTCCTGTACAAGGGCATGTTCATTGAATCTCTGGATATTAAATTCGAATATAAAATATGCATACGGGTATTCACTGAATACAATTAAGTGTCTCTCTGTCCCAACAAGCACCGGAGTGGTGGTTAACCCTGTGAAAGGCCCTGAGCTAGACGTATAAACTCCACATTTCTATGGCAAAGCCAGTCTATTAAAAGGACAATCACTGTTGGCTTCCCATTAGCGGCGTGCAGTATATCAGGCCTGCAGGAATGAAACTGAATAAGCAGCGGTGTAACGATTCGCCGAGTCATCGAGCTCACAAGTTTGCCCCTAAGTGGGTGCTTAAGGGTCAATGATTCTCGAGACGTGTAAGTTGTTTTAAGGGGTTTCCCTCCTTGTGTGTAACTCTATCGGGTTTACGCAACACAAGGTGCCACCTGTGCATCACGACAACGACCGATTTGATACGCGTCCACACACACACACAGCCACGATGCGCCCTTCACGAGCTTTGTAGCAGAGTGGAAGTGCCATCGCAGGTGGTCACAGAGTGCTGGCGCAGCAATCTCAAGCGTCTGCCACGCGCGCACGCACCGACGCGGCCTGCTCTCACCTTCTCCTCGTGCGACGCGCGGCTGCCCACCTCTCGGAGCTGCTGCTGGAGCTGCGCTCGCTCCGCCTGCACGCCGTGCAGCTCGGCCACAGCCACGTACGCCTGGCAGAGGCACACAGCAGCACGCGCGTACGGCCACGAAAGCACACAGCAGACAATGACCAACGATATGCTAAACAAACGTTTTACCCCGTTTTCTGTTTGGGATAGTCTTTTGTGATTGGGCTGCGACCGTCAAAAGCGTTAATATTACAACACAAACAGTTTATTTTGGGTTAGATCGTCGTGTACGTATAATGGCAATTTGTAGCTGAGCCCTCCGCCACCGGACAAGTTGACACGTGGGCAAATATGGCAATTGGGTTAGTGTTTCGGAAAAATATGGCAATTGGGTTAGTGTTTCGTAAAAATCGGAAGTGACCAAGATTTCGACTGTTTTATCAACGTTTCTCTGGAGGTTACATCGAGCATCATCGGGCCAAACCAAATGGCATATTTTCCCAAGTGATACATCGATTCATTTGCCGTGTCAGGTGCCAGAGGGTATAGCTTAAAGTTGGCATCATACTTACACGATCTGACCCAAAAACAAAACTAATCCTAAATTATACATTTGGCCGTGAAAGCCTATACAGTAAAACCTTGGATTGTGAGTAACTTGGTCTGCGTGAGTGTTTTGCAAGACGAGCACATTTTTGTAATTAATATTAATTTGATAAACGAGCGAGGTCTTGCAATACGAGTAGTACATATACGCTTTATCTGCCGAGCGTCACGTGATCACAACTGATATACGAGTGCTTTGATATACGAGTGTTTTGGATTACAAACACGTTTCCAGAACGAATTATGCTCGCAATCCAAGGTTTTACTGTATATTAAATTAAATGACATTTATCTTGACAAAGACGGCAGAATGTGCATTCATGACCTTTGAAACACATGGTGCCCTGACACTGGCATAACATTACGATAATGCTCTAAGCCACCCAAGACAGACGGTCACCAATTATTATTGAATAAACAAGCATCAGGCGCATCTACCCACGCAATGGCAACGCTGGCATGGAACATCCCACAGTCGGCCACCACGGACATTTGCCGCTCAGCTTCCACCAATCAGAAGGCCTTGTGCGGAGGAGCTCAAGGGGACGTGGGAAACGGGAGCCCTCTACTCACAATCGATAAATTACTGATGACACGGCATGGTGCGCTCGACGCAAAACCGCTAATCCACTTGCCAGTTGTTTACTTCGTTGATTATATGAAGATTGCTATTGACAGTCAAGTGGCTGCAGATAAAGCCGCACTCATGTTGATCACCCTAATGTGTGCGGAAACCTCATCCAGTGATGAACACCGATTTAGATTGTTGCCTACTCGTTCACATGCACACACACACTCGGGGCACCCTGTAAGACATCTCTCTCTATAAACAGACATCATCTCGAAAGAGAAACGTGCTCACAGGCTACCCACTGCCTTGTTCTAACCCTTATCAAGGTTTACACAGCTAAAAGCTCAGCAAAGAGAAAATGCAAGTGTAACTTATCGTGTGCTCTGTACGTTCTGTACCTAAATCGTGCATGCATGAGATGATGTGCCTCGCGACACTTTCTATGGCAAGTGCCATTGCACTCGGCTGTGCTACGTCTACTCTAAACGTGTTCACGATGTTGACCGGGTTGGTGTGTGTGTGTGTGTGAACACGGGGGAGGGCCTTCACATCGCTTGGGCTTCACCAGACGCGTACGCGGAGCAGAAAGCGCGAGGAGCGACGCGGGGCGCGCACCTCGTCCCCCCAGCTGCTGTGCTCACCTGCTCGGTCTGCACGCTCACGCTCTGCGAGCGCTTCGAGCCCAGGGTCTGGATCTTCTCAAACACCAGGTTCACCTTGCGGTGCGTGCTCTCCGCGCTCTCGCTGTTCCTGCGCACGCAACGTCCACGAAGACAACGAGCCCCGTGAGGTGGAGGGGATAGCATGCCGCGCTACCACCCTCCCAGCACGGACCTTGCCTGCTGTGCAATGCGCAAGAGCCACTCGCTTGTGGTAGCGGAACCTGGGCCTCCCCGAGGTCGACTCAGCCTTACATGAGTACTGAATGAACAAGGCTGGATCTAGCCGGTTCACCGTCTTGCGTGACACTAATGTTCATACGCACATAAAGAGACAAAGACAAAGAACCGCCATATAGCCTTTAACAGACTGTTGGGGCAAGTGCTGTTTCGCAAGCTACGGAGGTCGTCACGGAAACACGAGGGCAGTGGCGATGTTTACAGATCGCACCAGGTACTCATTTTAGGCTGAGTGAACCTAGGAGAGGCTCAGGACCGATGCAGCTAATCGTCACTGGTGTTGGCCGTGAGCGGGAATTGAACTTGGGTCGCAGAGTTCGTACCACAGCGCACGAACCGTTGCACTACCGCTAACTATTGAGTAGACATGCAATGGAACACGCGTACTAAAAAGACGTGCACATACCGCATAAAACTAAAACACACATACGCTTATGCAAATTATTGTAAGAACACAAAACAAACGTACATTGTGATGAATAAACCGGGTACTTGGGCCTTCAGAAAAAACGTAAACAAATTTCAACAAATACCAGTAAGAAAACATTGATTCATGCACACCAAATGTAACGCATTTGTTGTGAGCTTAATGAACAATATTTGTTTAATTCACGCATCGTTACACCCCTCCCAAAGTTAGGTGGCAAATCCCACACTTTGCTAAGTATGCCTGTGAATAGTTAGTTCCACCAACCAATGGGGCACTACGTACAGTGGCCAGAGTTGGCATGGCTCTGGGTGGCGGGCCCATGCCAGGTCTTTGGTTTCGGGAGCACGAGGCACTGAGCAATGAAAGCCTGGGGAGGATCCTGTGCTCCCAGCCTCCTGGCCCGAGTGGGCAGGCTGCCCACTGCAGCTGTCATGAGCGCTCAATTCAGCAATTAACCCCTCCAGCGCGATGGCACGCAGGCAGCGCCGGGGACGAGGCGTCTATCCCACGCGTGGCCGCTCTGACCCGGCCCCAAACTTCTGCTTCAGTGTTTCCCTTCAGCGCAGTCGTTTGTGCATCAAGAGGGATTTGTGAGAATCTAAGAAATTGTGCAATAATTGTGCCTCTTATTCAAAGGGGTATAGCTGAGCATTCCGAACGTCTATCTAGCCGTGTGACTGATGGAGACGTTCTGGAGCACTGCTGCCGTGAGCAGAGTGAAAAGCCATCCAAGAATGAATGCACAGGAGAACAACAGAGTGAAGCCAAATGCGATTCAACACTGGGCTTTACAATCGATAGGTGTCATTATCCCACAATCAATAGGTGTCATTATCGCACTCACCCCTCCCGCAGGACGCTGTACAGGAACTGCTTGGCGCTGGCCTCCTGGGAGACGTCGGTCTGGTCGCGCAAGAGGTCCGGGGTGGTCACGAGCTGCACAGCCACAGAGGGGCACGCGACGGCCGAAGCCATGCGGGGGACGGGGTACAGCACCTCCGATTAGCACGGTTGGCTACGTATGGTGCGAAAGAAGTTCAACACAGGGCGACCGCGCCAGCCGACTGTGTTAAGTTCGCCGCCGCCGCTGCCACCGCCTTCATCCACACGATCGCGTCATTGACGACAAACATGTCCACATTTGTCTGCAACGTAACAAATTAAACAAATAACGCTCACATTTCGTGATACATCAGTTAATTCAAAACTATGGCATTGCTACTTTCCACTCCTCCTTAACTCTAGCTTTCAACCTTTTTAGCAATGTCATGGAAACACATCGGTGAACTCAGTAACGCTCTCTGGGCATTTGAAGGCGAGTGAGATTTCGACCGGATCTCCCCTGGCCAAGCTCTCACTTCTCCGATCTGCCGTGCCCTACAGACTCGCACAGCCTCACCTTCACATCCATAAGCCTCGCTCTTTGTTACATTCCCAACAGCCGTCTATCCTACGGTGCATTTATTGAATTAAACCTCTGACCCCGTCACATATTAAATGCCATTAAACTCTCCATTGGTGGCCGTATAGAAGGACTGGCTCCGACCATAGGAATGTAGACGACTCACAGTGGTTTAGGGCCTTCCAGTAGAGATGAACATCACCCCAACTCTTATTCGAGCGTGGCTGAAGCTTTATTCCCGATGTCAATTTCTGCTAATGTCTGAATACGACATTTTATGTTCAACCTGTCTGCTATTTACGCCTTTTGAAGTTAAATGTACAGTGAAACCTTGGATTGTGAGTAACTTGGTCTGCGAGTGTTTTGCAAGACCAGCAAAACTTTTAAATAAATAATAATTTGATAAACGAGCGATGTCTTGCAATACGAGCAGTACGTGTACAGCATAACGCTTTGTCTGCCGAGTGTCACGTGATCACAACTTAGCCAATGGTTCTTCTCTCTCGCTGCGGGATTGTGGGTAATAATCTCCCATACTCGGTCTCAGTCGGCATGCCTCACTCTTATAGTCAACATCCGTGCGAGCGTATACTGTTTACTACAGTACTATAGTGTTGTGACCACGTGTATAGTGTTTACTACAGTACTATAGTGTTGTGACCACGTGTATACTGTTTACTACAGTACTATAGTGTTGTGACCACGTGTGTACTGTTTACTACAGTACTATAGTATTGTGACCACGTGTACTGTTTACTATAGTACTATAGTGTTGTGACCACGTGTATACTATTTACTACAGTACTATAGTGTTGTGACCACGTGTATACTGTTTACTACAGTACTAAAGTGTTGTGACCACGTGTATACTGTTTACTACAGTACTATATTGTTGTGACCACGTGTATACTGTTTACTACAGTACTATATTGTTGTGACCACGTGTATACTATTTACTACAGTACTATATTGTTGTGACCACGTGTATACTGTTTACTACAGTACTATAGTGTTGTGACCACGTGTGTACTGTTTACTACAGTACTATAGTGTTGTGACCACGTGTATACTGTTTACTACAGTACTATAGTGTTGTGACCACGTGTGTACTGTTTACTACAGTACTATAGTGTTGTGACCACGTGTGTACTGTTTACTATAGTACTATAGTGTTGTGACCACGTGTATACTATTTACTACAGTACTATAGTGTTGTGACCACGTGTATACTATTTACTACAGTACTATAGTGTTGTGACCACGTGTATAGTGTTTACTACAGTACTATAGTGTTGTGACCACGTGTATACTATTTACTACAGTACTATAGTGTTGTGACCACGTGTATACTGTTTACTACAGTACTATAGTGTTGTGACCACGTGTGTACTGTTTACTACAGTACTATAGTGTTGTGACCACGTGTATACTGTTTACTACAGTACTATAGTGTTGTGACCACGTGTATACTGTTTACTACAGTACTATAGTGTTGTGACCACGTGCATACTGTTTACTACAGTATAGTGTTGTGACACCGTGTATACTGTTTACTATAGTGTTGTGACCACGTGTGTACTGTTTACTATAGTACTATAGTGTTGTGACCACGTGTGTACTGTTTACTACAGTGCTATAGTGTTGTGACCACGTGTATACTGTTTACTATAGTACTATAGTGTTGTGACCACGTGTATACTGTTTACTACAGTACTATAGTGTTGTGACCACGTGCATACTGTTTACTACAGTATAGTGTTGTGACCACGTGTATAGTGTTTACTATAGTGTTGTGACCACGTGTGTACTGTTTACTATAGTAGTATAGTGTTGTGACCACGTGTGTACTGTTTACTACAGTATAGTCTTGTGACCACGTGTATACTCTTTACTACAGTACTATAGTGTTGTGACCACGTGTATACTGTTTACTACAGTATAGTGTTGTGACCACGTGTATACTGTTTACTATAGTACTATAGTGTTGTGACCACGTGTATACTGTTTACTATAGTACTATAGTGTTGTGACCACGTGTGTACTGTTTACTACAGTATAGTCTTGTGACCACGTGTATACTGTTTACTACAGTACTATAGTGTTGTGACCACGTGTATACTGTTTACTACGGTACTATAGTGTTGTGACCACGTGTATACTGTTTACTACGGTACTATAGTGTTGTGACCACGTGTATACTGTTTACTACAGTACTATAGTGTTGTGACCACGTGTATACTGTTTACTATAGTACTATAGTGTTGTGACCACGTGTGTACTGTTTACTACAGTATAGTGTTGTGACCACGTGTGTGTGCGTAACGATTTTTTTATTTTGTGTCCAAGTGTAGTGACTGCTCTTTAGTAACTGTACTGCAACAATGGCCCCCATGAAGAAAAAGGTTGAAAAGCAAGTATCATTGGATAGGTTCCTTGTTAAAGTTGCACAAAAATAAAAATATTCCAGTGAGCCAAGAGATGCCAGCGCTTCCGTTACTGACAGTGAAAGTCGTCCTACACAATAACCCTCCTCCTCTCTCTCGTCTCCCTCACACCAGCCACGATTACATTTAATCAATACATTTGATTACTTTATATGAAATTTAAATAAACATATAAAAAGGTACAGTATTTTGTATTTATCTTTTTTTGATATTTTTGGGTTGTGGAACGAATCATTTGAGTTTCCATGATTTCTTATGGGGAAATTCGCTTTGATATACGAGTGCTTTGGATTGCGAGCACGTTTCCGGAACGAATTATGCTCGCAATTCAAGGTTTCACTGTATTTCAATAAAAAAATATTAAATCCATTCATCATTATCATCAACCATTGTCTATTCAATGCTGGTTGAAGGCCTCCGTATGCCACCGCCATCCTTCTCTGGGTCTCGTGATGCCACAATCCATCTCACCTCCGGTACCACCCTAAGGGTGGTACGTGGCATATGAAAAACGTAGCGCACGGCAAATATGATCGACTGTAGTGGCCTGTAACAGAACACGTGCAATCGTCATGTAGGTTGTGGTTGAGCAGGCGTCGTTGTACATTTCTTTAATGAGGATTTGGTACGCAAGAAATAACGCCAACAAATTTGCAGAGGTTGCATCAACAAATATGCAAAACAGAGCACCAACAAACCAGAGGGGACCTTTGTTGCTGATTAACAGCTGAGGCCAGTTAATGTAAAAACTCGAGAAAATAATAATCACACAGGCACACACCCTGGGCATGCCAGGGACAGCTGGGTGGCACGCCCACTGCCCAGACAGCCTGCCTATAACCAACAGTATCACCTGATGCTTCCTCTCTCAAGCCTTCACAACACACGGCACCCAACGCACAACACACAGTGCAACAGCACCCAACACACAGTGCAACAGCACCCAGCACACTACACAACAGCACCCAATACACAGCACACTACACACAGCACCCACCACATGGCACCAAATACACAGTACAACAGCACCCAACACACGGCACACTACCCACACAGCACCTAACACAGTAAAACAACGCCCAATACACAACACAAAACACCCAATACAGAGCGCAACTACACACGACACACAGCACCTACCACACGGCACCAAACAGACAGTACAACAGCACCCAACACACAGTAACGATAGCAGCCAACACACCGTGCACTACACAAGAACACACGGCACCCAATTACACAGTAAAACATTACCAATTACACACCGCACTACACGCAACACACAGCACCCAACAAACGGCACCCAATACACAGTACAACAGATGCAAATACACACGGCATACGACACACAGCGTTTACATATGCAGCAGAAGGGAGTGTGTGTATTCCTGCTGCAAACGACCCCCATGGGCTCAATTTTGATACTCCCTGCGACAGCATGGAGACCCGCCGTTACCTTGAACACTAGAAAACCTTGAGCAGGGCAGAAGGCAAAGGAGTTTGCACCGTACAATTTTGCCCTGGTTGACCCCGAGCCTCGCTTGCACAATGCTCTTATTTCACCGAGCTGAGAGATATTGGTCGGAGGGTACAAATTGGGAAAACGTTGCAGAGCAAGTGGTTAAGTGTACCTAGGGGCAGCCGTGACAGGCGGGACTGGAATTGAAACGATGCAACAAAGGGGGGGGGGGGGGGGGAGGACGAGAGCACGTTCAGAGTGCTTTTCGCGGCCGAACTTACGATTTAAATGTAAAGCAGCAGTGTGCCGAGAGGAGCGCGCGTTTCATCACTGCATGCTGTCTGCTTTGATATGGTTCATGAACACGGTTATGAACGAAACAATATCGAACGAAAAAACTGAATAGTGGGCAAAGAAGCGTAAAGAGACGGCTGCTTGGAGAGACAGAGAAAGGACCACGTGGATTTGAAAACAGACGCCGGTAACTGACAACGTCCACTACGAAGAAGACTACGTGGGCTCGGGCAGGACACGTCTAGTGCAGGACACGTCTTGGGCAGGGCACGTCTTGGGCAGGGCACGTCTAGGGCAGGACACGTCTAGGGCAGGACACGTCTAGGGCAGGGAAAGT